TTAAGGACACGTGACATGTCATGATTCCCTTTTATTCCCGAAGTTTGGTCCTTAAGAGGTTAAAGTATAAACATTTTGTAAAATTTTACTCTCTAACATGGTAAATAAATTGTGTTTATAGTTTAAATGTTCAAGGGTAAGCCCTCCTCCCCGGATTTAGTAGAAGGGGGATATTCCCTTTTTATAATTATTGAGTTTATTGTTCTTTGTTATACATCTAGATATGTAAATATGGGTGTCATGGAGGCCTGAAGGGCTATTCTATTTCTTTTTTAAGCATCATATCGTTCCATGTTGCCATCATCGTGAGCTTCCACCGTGATGGGGATCCTCACTCCCACTACTCCTATAGTATGCACCCGAGTTCTACTCGGGGCATTTTAGCTCCTAAGTAGGGAGCAATATAGGGCTTATTGCCCACGTCAATCCCTCCCCCTGTTTTCTCATTCCTTTGTGTGTTCCCTTCTCATCCTTTTGTTTCCTATACACCCAACTTGCCTATTCTATTACACAAAAACTTACATAAAACGTACTTTTCAAAACAAGCGGTATTGGCCTTAGTATAGATACAGTGGAAACATTTGTAGGAACCATTATTACAAAGGGTCTTATTATAAACTGATAAAACTATGAAATTAGTGTCATATAATGTAAAAGGTTTGAACTCCCCAAGAAAACGTAGGCTACTTCTTAGGGACCTTACCAAACACGCAATTGATGTAGCCTGCATACAGGAGACCCATTTCAAGAAAAATCGTACCCCAGCTATTTTTAGCAAACAATTCCCTATACAGATACACTATTTGTCTAGCTCCACATCTAAAGGTGTATCGATCTTAATTCATAAAGATACAGCCTATACCCCCCAACGACAGTATGTGGACCCAGGAGGGAGATGTGTTATATTGGTCAATTTAATAGCGTGCAACTGACGTTGGTAGCGGCTCATTTCCCCAATAACTATCAAAACTAACACGGAATTTCTTGAGCTCCCTCCTGAGTAAAATTGAAAAGTACAGACAGGGAGACTTGATACTTTGTGGGGATTTTAACTGTATTCAGTCACCAGGGCTAGATACGACTGCAACCCTGAAAGGTGTAAATAAACGATGAACAGAAACTTTTACAAAATTATTAGACCAATATGATTTATATAATCCATGGAGAGTTTTACAACCGACAGACAGGGATTACACCTTTCATTCACTTGTACATAACACATATACTCGCATAGATACCTTCCTCTTGCATAGAGCACTTTTACCACAATTAACGCAGTGTAATATAGGGGAGATAACCTGGTCAGAACAATAGCCCAGTGTATTTAAATCTTTCAGAGGCATCTCATTCTCGAGGTCGGGGTCCTGGCGATTGAACAATTCCCTGTTGTCAGATGCAGTCTTTACAGAAGATATTAGGTTAAGAATACAAGAATATTTTAAATTAAATGCGACTGAGGAAGTCTCGGATTTTACAATATGGTCTGTGCATACAGTTGCAAGAAAAAGTATGTGAATCCTTTGGAATGATATGGATTTCTGCACAAATTGGTCATAAAATGTGATCTGATCATCATCTAAGTCACAACAACAGACAATCATAGTCTGCTTAAACTAATAACACACAAAGAATGAAATGTTGCCATGTTTTTATTGAACTCACCATGTAAACATTCACAGTGCAGGTGGAAAAAGTATGTGAACCCTTGGATTTAATAACTGATTGAACCTCCTTTGGCAGCAATAACTTCAACCAAACGTTTCCAGTAGTTGCAGATCAGACGTGCACAACGTTTAAGCAGACTGTGATTGTCTATTGTTGTGACTTAGATGATGATCAGATCACATTTTATGACCAATTTGTGCAGAAATCCATATCATTCCAAAAGGTTCACATAATTTTTCTTGCAACTGTAAAGCAGTGATAAGAGGTCTGTTTCTGAGACGCACTTCCTTTCTGAAAAAACAAAATGGGTTAGGTCTACTTGATTGTCACAGACAAATTGCCATAATTTCTAAACAAAATAAAATCTGTCCTTCCTCTGAATTAGCGGAACAGCTCACCGTGCTCTATGCAAGACTGAAGGTACTTAATGCGGAAGAAACCAAGTGTATGCTCCATAAAGTACGAGCCAAGGTATATCATAGTGGTGGGAAAGCCAATAAATATTTAGCCTCCAGACTTCGAAATAAGTATTCTAATTTTAAGGTACCCTATGTAATGGGAAGTGATGGCTTGAAGAAAATCACTCCAATAGATATTAGTCAAGAATTTGCAAACATTTACCCTAAATTGTATAATTTGAAAGGAGACCGTAGTTTCTATAATACGAGCACAAATATATAACCCAATTTTTAACCCAAGCTCATCCCTCATTGGAGATGATCAGACAGGGTTTATACAGGGGATGGATAATACTTGGAAATTAGCACTGATTTTTGGATCACTTAATGGGGGCCAGAGGAGGCGGACACTTATTATCTGGGTATCTGCAAGTATTATCCTGCTCAACAACGCTACAGGAGACAAAGATATTGGGCTTCTTAGGGAGATCCAATGTTCTCTGTTTATGGCTACACATCTGTGAATGTAACCCCTAAATTGCAACCTTGTACATTCGGTTCATGAACAATGTGACCAAGCTGTCCGTACACACCAGGTGCTTAGTGTGTCTCTTGTACATCCTGAAAAGCAAGGCTGCAGTGTAAGCAAATCTATTAGTCTTCAAAGGAACACTATAGGGTCAGGAACACAAAACTGTCTTCCTGACCATATATTGTTTAAAACACCATTTAGGTGGCTGGCCCCCTTAAAAGGTAGGAAAAATTATCTTCTTTCCAGAGCTGCTCTGCTGGCGCTGGCCCTGCCCCCAATCCACCTCTTTGCTGACATCAGAATTAAATTATTTCGGTGAGGAGGTGAGGCCAAATATTGGCTGAGCCAATCAGCACCTCCTCATAGAGATGCATTGAATCAATGCACCTCTTTGAGGAAAGTTCAGCGTCTCCATGCAGGAAGCACCTCTAGTAGCCACCTGAAGAGTGGCCACTGTAGGTGTCCCTATGGGGTAATGTAAACACTGCCTTTTCTCTTAAAATTTTACATGAACATTCCTGCAGGGAATAATTTATACTCAGAATAACTACATTAAGCTGTAGTTTTTTCTGATAACTATAGTGTCCTTTTAAAGATTATTTCAAATATCTTACTGGTGATGGAACTTTAGCACTAATTGATACACAAAGGATCATGTGGGGATTCCATGACCTTTCATATAATTTAGCCCTGTAACAATAAAATAATGTAAATAACTAAATGCGAACCAAATCAAATATCATCATATTACTAAAAATTTATATTTAATCTGCAATGTTTTGTGAAAAAATTTGTTTCAGAACTTTACTCTTAAGATATTGTATGTATCCTATTACATTATTGCTTGATATTTAAAAAATGATCTGAAACCCAGAATTCATTAAATGGCAAGGAATTAGTATATGACTAAATAATTCCTTTTTATATATAGTTTCAGGATAATTCATGTAACGGATCCCGTACACTCCAGCTGAGTATATCTGTGCAGAATCTCCCGAAATCCAAGTGTAGCAGAAGGTGTAGTGATTATAACTCCTAAATCCCCAAACATGAGCCAAGACTCCATGAAGGGGTAAAACGATCTGTTTAATGGAGGCCACAGCTTGGCCTTTTATGCAAGTCCTGGAGACAATTGGGTTAAGTGGCTGTAGTAAACTCAATTATCTCCAGGTACAGAAAATAATGCACTGTTATAAAATTCAACAAAACACTTTAAAATACATAAAATCATATTTCACTTAACCAAACCCCCTTAGTCTACATATCCCCAGAAAGCGCCCAACATATCCGAAAAGCGATCAGATCCCACAGTCGAATTGCTATGGGGTTGAAGGATTTGACTGACCGCTCTGAAGAAGTCTGTCCAGAAATAGTTCCAGGATTTTAGCTGTAGTGATGGGTCTAGTTTGTGAGTTTTCATCCGAACGGAAATCGGTGAAACCATCAAAAATGTGAATTAATCCCCTGTCTTATACTGCAGTAATGGTTCAGTAGTTTTAGTCGAACAAACCATCAAACCAGGTTCACCTAGCTTGCCGCAAATAGAAGCAGGCATTCGTGTGTTTTGACCGGTGTTCGGGTCGTCAAGTGGCCGTCTCAGAGTTCCAGGCACTTGACGACCAAGTCCCGCTGCCTACGTTCGTGTGACAAGATGGCACACAAAGAGAACACTGCATCCTTGTGGTTTGTTTCAACTTAACGAGCCAGGAGGGTGGTCGGTGTTCGGTGATTAGTTCATCAAACTAAATAAGAAGTAAAATAGTACCAAATGCTTGAATAGAATATAAAAAGGGCACTGGTGCACACAAAATAGGGGGATTTTTTTTAGATCAGCCAGCAGCTTGCAATGTCAGGATGGGCAGCAGGAGAGCTCTGCACTATGTGCTCAAAGTGGGAGACAGACCGTCGACTGTCAGCTTTTACAGGGAGGGACGTACTGGGAAGAAAGTCCTACGACATGAGGAATTTGAAGAAGGTTGCAAAGCCACTTGCAATGGCCCATATGATGGGAAATGGAGTAAGACAATGATTGGGTATGGGTCTGAAGACAGCCACTTTGTTGTTGAACTAACCTACAACTATGGAGTTGGGAAGTACAGGCTAGGTAGTGATTTTAGGGGCTTGACACTTCTAGCCAGTTTTGTGGCTAATGCATGAAGGTTAAATTGCACTCTCTCTGAAGTATCATCTGGACTGTTTGAGACAGTGGCCCCAGAAGGTTATAAGTTCTATTTGGAAGACGAAGAACAACCCAAAACAGATCCAGTGTAAAAGGTGACTCTTGCAATATCAAACTTGCAAACATCTATATCTTACTGGTCTGAACTGTTGGGAATAGTGATGTCGCGAACCGTTCGTGAACTTTCCACGAACGGCTCGCCACGGTTCGTGGCGAACTCCGGTCAGCTGGCACATCCCGGCCAATCTCCAGCAGACCCTCTCTCCCAGACCCTCCCACCTCCTGGACAGCATCCATGTTGAAGCTGCCTTCAACATGGATGCTGTCCAGGAGGTGGGAGGGTCTGGGAGGGAGGGTCTGCTGGAGATTGGCTGGGATGTGTCAGCTGACCGGAGTTCGCCGCGAACGGTTCGTGGCGAGCCATTCGCGGAAAGTTCGCGAACGGTTCGCGACATCACTAGTTGGGAATAAGGATGAAGTAAAAAATAATTTTATTTTGGGGTATGCAGATAACCAGTGTAAATTGGAGCTGAATAAAATTGGTTGTCCAGTGGACCATGCAACAGCTTTTGGCAGAATTGCATTTGCTTGCCCTAAGGAAGAGCTTCCCAACATTAAAGCACTGATGAGAAGGGAGAACCAGAAAATACTAGCTCTGCTTGTGAGCCTGGACACTCCTGGAAAAGCTACAGTCCAAGTTGTAATTTTGTCTAACCCTGATGGACATGAAATTTGTTTTGTTGAGGATTAAGTTTTTCAAGAACTCTCACAGACTGATCCCAATGCAGGCAAACTTTTGAATGATGCTATGGAAGCTGACAAAAGTGAAGAGTGGTTTGCAAAGTGCAAAATGCAGAAGCCTTCTGACAACCTCAACACAATCAAACAAGAAAATTAAAATACTATATTGTGCATTAAAAAAAAAATAGGGGGATTTTGCCACAATTCAATACCAGATTTTGTTTGTTATTAAACTTTGGTGAATATGGACAAATTCTGACCAAAATAGCAATTCTCATTTTCAAATACAGTCGGACTAGGGCCAACCTGACTGAATCTGCACCAATATGCTGGATGCATTCAGTGTCCAGATTAATACACATGTAAAGGATTTCGAATAGTTATAGTTATAATTAACTGCGATCTCTGGAAATAAATCAAATCCGAATGTTTTCAGTAGGATGCACAACAAGAAATAATTAATTCAATTGAACCATAAGTTCTCTTTGGTTGGTTTATGCCTAGAACACTCTGTACTGTGTAAGCTGAGAAGCTTTGAAGCATGAGGCAGAGTTCTTTGCCCAGAACCTGTATAAATGTGATATGTGGCTGGTGGCCCATGTTTTTATGGAAGTGTTCACGCTCCCAGGGTCGGCTCTAGACTATTTTGCACCCTAGGCAAGACTAGATACTTGTTCCCCTCCCCCAAAGCAAAAATGTTTCAATTTTGTCTTCTGCCCCCCCTTTACCAGCCCTCACTGTATCCTTCCCTAGCCTCTCTGAATGTCTGTTTCACGTTCCCCATTCCCCTTGTGCTTCTCTTGGGTCTCCTGCAATTCCCCTATCTCCGTAAGGCCCAAGTTGTCTTCCACTCATCTCGGATGCACCAGAAGCAGAAACTCTGGGTCTCTCAATGCCATATCATGATCAGAAACCTCCTACGGAAGACCAGGACCATCACAGACCATCACATTTCCTCAATGCATTTGTGACCATGGGTAGAGCCCGGCCGCATGCCACTGCAATGCCCAGTATGATTCCTCCAATCACAATTCCGCCGTCACTAGTGTCTACGGTTCCATTACCCATTCATCCAAGGGCTGTTCTCCCAGGTGTAGCATGTACTTACCTCCCTCCGTGCAGCCCTCCTCGAGCTGCACATCTCTCCTCCGATCCACCTAGACACGTGGCAGGACTTCCTTATAGAGAGTGTAGGTGTGACGTCACGCTTGTTCTTAAAGTGACCACGTCATCAGTGCAATCCTAATCTATTTTGTTGTATTAATACGTTGGTTCCGGGCATTCTAATACAATTAGGTAATACATCTTTCAGATCCACCTTTTTTGGGTTTCCTCTTTCCTGCTTGTTGGGGGCAGGGGTGCTCCACAGACTCATTGCCAGGCTAGTTTTGAGGAAATGGACCATAGAATGGACCAATGTGATTAGGCCTTCCAAACCTTGTTAGCCAGAACAGCCCACCTCTCTCCTGAAAACCTTCCACCTATGCCTCCCCAGCCTGTGCCTGTGGTGCTTGAAGCTTCTGGTCAGAACAGTATGACAACAAACTTGACACCATCTCCAAGATACAGTGGCGATCCTAAGACCTGTCGAGGGTTTATAAACCAAACAGAGTTTTACTTTGAAACTTCTCCCACGTCTTTTCCAACTGAAAGGTTTTATATACGCCAATTAACCCACAAGGCCTTGGAATGGGCTAATCCTTTATGGGAGGCAAACGAAGATCTGGTTTATGACTATAAAGCATTTTGTAAGAGCTTTCCGTAAGGTGTTTGATCCACCCAGGGCCGGCGCTTCCTATAAGGCGAACTAGGCAGCCGCCTAGGGCGCCATATAGGAGGGGGCACACTGCGCCCCCATCGCCGCCCTTTAAATGCTGCAGCCGCCTGAGCGCTCTATAGAGAGCGCTCAGGTGGCAGCCGCACTGCCTCTCTCCTCATTCCCCCCCCTTCCCTGTAGCGTGGCCAAGCTCCTCGCTGGTCCGTGACCCGGCCAGACTGCCAGGAAGTGCACACTCGGTGTGCACTTGCTGTCGGTCCAGCCGGGTGCAGGAAACAGAACTCCTGTACCACGGACTGGAGAGGAGCTCGGCCACGCTACAGGGAAGGGGGGGTGAGTAGGGAGACCACATGGAGGAGGGCAGGGAGAGGGAGGAGGGCGGAGGATGAGTAAAGAGACCACAGGGAGGCATGGAGGGGAGGGGGAGTAAAGACACCACAGGGAGGGAAGTAGGGGAGGGGGAGTAAAGAGACCACAGGGAGGGAAGTGGGGGAGGGTGAGTAAAGAGACCACAGGAGGGAAGAGAATGGGGAGTAAAGAGACTCCCACAGGGAGGAGGAAGTAAGAGGCCTACAGGGAGGGAAGAGGGAGGGTGAGTAAAAGACCACAGGGAGGAAGAGAATGGGGAAGTAAAAGGGAACCACAGGGAGGAGAGAAGAGAGTGTAAAAGAGGGAGCCACAGGAGGAGGAAGGGGGAGGGGAGTAAAGAGACCACAGGAGGGAAGGGGAGGGAGTAAGAGACCACAGGGAGGGAAGAGGGAGAGTAAAGAGACCTACACGGAGGAAGGAGGGCAGGGAGTAAAACAAACCCACGAGGAAGTGGGAGAGCCACAGGGAGGAAGAGGTAAAGGGACCACAGGGGGAGGTGAGTAGAGGGAACCACAGGGAGGAAGAGTAAAGCAACCACAGAGAGGAAGGGGGAGTAAAGACACTGGGGAGGGAGTAAAAGAGACCACAGAGAGGAGGAAGAGGGAGGGAGTAAAGACCACAGGGAGGGAGAGGGGAGGGAAGTAAGAGACCACAGGGAGGAAGTGGGAGAGAGTAAAGAGACCACAGGGAGGAAAAGGGGAGTAAAGAGACCACAGGGTGGGAGAGGTGAGTAGAGACCACAGGGAGGGAAAGGGGTAAAGCAACCACAGGGAGGGAAGGGGGGAGTAAAAGAGACACTGGGGAGGGAGTAAAGAGACCGGGAGGGAAGGGGAGGTGAGCAGAGAGACCACAGGGAGGGAGAGGGAGGGAGATGCAAGAGACCACAGAGGGAGGAAGGGGGAGTAAAGAGACCCATGGGGAGGGAGTACGCTGACCGCAGAGAGGGAGTAAAGAGACCCTGGGGAGGGAAGGAGTAAAGAGATGGCAGGGAGGGAAAGAGTAAGAGACGACAGGGAGGGAAAGGAGGGGGGAGTAAAGAGACCACAGGGAGGGAAAGGAGGGGGAGAGGGAGTAAAGAGATGAAGGGGGGAGTAAAAAGACCACAGGGAGGGAAGGGGGAGAGGGAGCGTAAAGAGACCACAGGGAGGGGGGAGTACGGAGAACACTGGGATGGGGGGTGAGGAGAGACCACTAAGGAGCAGGGGAGAGCTCTAAGGGACGGAAGGGAGAGCTCTATAGGACTGGGGGCGGGACAGGGAGCTCTTTCACACACACAATGCATCCCTATACATACACAGAAACACACAATGCATACCTACACACACATGCAAACACAGACTGCTTCTCTTACATACACACAGAAACACAATGCATCTTACACTCAATGCACCACTTACAGACACACACACACTGCATCACTTACATACACAGAAACACACCTTGCATCCCTTATGCATACAAACACAGATTCACACAATGCATCATTACATACAACCAGAAACACACAATACATCCCTTATACACAAAAACATACTGCTTTCTATACCTTACACAAAAACACACTGTTTCCATTAAACACAAACATACTGCATCACCTACACAAACTGGTATCCCTATACACTACATTCCAGAAGCACACACATTAGATCCTCTACAATAACACAACACATCCCCTACACACTCCACTCCCTGTGAGCAAACTCATGGGTGGAACATGTAGGTGGACTTATGGGTGGGCCTTATGGGCATACTCACCGTCAGGCCCTGGGGCCCAGACCTTGAGCTGCGTAAGGGGTCCCAAAAAATGGAGCTGCTTCCTGTTCTCCCAGAACATTGAATTTTGTGACCACAGTTACAAACAGCCGCCAGAGATCCTGTTCTACACCAGACCAGTGGAGCCAAACTGCAGCCAGGGCCCATCACCATCCTCATCTAGTTGTAAGTAGGCAATCTAGTATATTATTAGTGACATTAAGCTCTAATTTACCTCACATTAAAGGGACACTATAGTCCCCAGAACCACTGCAGCTTAATAAAGTGGTTCTGGTGTCTATAGTCTGTCCCTGCAGGCTCTCTTAATGTAAAAACACACTGTGTGCAGCACTGGCGTTAGTTCATATGGCAGATCATATGGGTGGGACATTGTGATGTCACATGGGGGGGCAACTTTTTTTTTGCCTAGGGCGGCAAAAATCCTTGTACCGGCCTTAGATCCACCTGGGGGAGAGAGGTGTGCCGCTAAATCTCTTATGAGGATTAAGCAGGGAATTAGATCTATAGCGACACTCTTGCCTCTGAGGTTGATTGGACCAATAGTGGTTTAGTATATGCATTCATGGATGGGGTTAATGATAGCATCCTGGATGAGGTGGCAGCCAGAGATCTTCCAGTCCTCCTAGAATACCTTATCGACATTGATAACCGGTTAAGGGAGAGCCCAACAGAGGAATTGTGTTAGACGCCCTCCCCTAAGGCTGGCCCTGCTGACATCCTTGGGCA